TCTCTCTCTCTCTCTCTCTCTCTCTGCTCAACAACAATTTTTTGTAGACTTAACGATCTTCAGAATGTTCATGGTAATTACAGTGAAGTATATATTAAATAATGAATCTTAATCGTAAAGAACACGCAACAAATGCTAAATTTTAAAACATCAAAACTGTATAACGCTATGATAAAGCTATAACAATTTGCATTCATGCACAATGTTGTTGGGATCTCGCTATCTACATAACGAACAAATCATTTTTTTCTTAAATGCGTATTGCCGCGCACATTGTTATAATCTCTCGAGGATTCAATTACAATTCCTCGGTCTCTCTCGATGTGTTTGAAATTTCATCTCCGTTTCCTTTATATATATATGTTCCATTTTAATTCCCTCTAACATTTCGACAATCGAATTATCTGGTTTTGCTCTCAATTTACGGCTGTTCTTTCCGATAATGGACATCCACCTTTCTTGGAAGGGGCAAAATAAGTTCGCACCCTCGGAGGTTCACGTCCGGCGGATATAAACCGTTTTTTTTTCTTGTCTTCGTTATATGTAACTATTATCATGCGTAACACATTTTCCGGATTTACATACGCACGTAATAGATTATTCAAGAATTTTTCGAAAATCTCTATAAGTATATATTTAACATACATTTATATATTTTACATTCTCTCTTTTTTTCTCTGTGTATATATGTAATGTGTGTGTGTGTGTGTGTTTGTCATAAGTGACGCCATTCTCGACATCTAATGCGCATGCGCGAGAATTCAAGTTCGTATAGATCACGTACGTATGTCTTTCGAATTAATCGAAAGTAGGAGAAAAAAGGGAGCAAAAAATATGACATTATAAAAAAAAACATTATATAAACGCGTCTCTGCATCTTATTTATTCACTTCTTAGTATATTGTCAACCGTGCGCGATGCGTTGTAAAAATTTATAATTAGAGTGTGTTTTTTGTTCTTAAAACTTATTCTCGAATAATAGGCTGAGACAACTGCCAACAACGCAATAAAAAAAAAAATGAATGCAATTGTCGTAAAGAAAAAAAATTAAGAGCACGGGTAGGGAGACAAGACATTGTTTTTTGTTTTTTTTTTGGCACGGTAACTGTCGTCGTTCAAAAGTTGTGCTGGTGCGTTGATTATCTCGCGATCTGATTGCAACATTGTTTTTCATTCGGAGCTTCAATATTTTTCTTTCCATATAAGTAAGTAATTCGTTTCGTGCATAGTTTAAAACACGTTTTATTTCACAGAAAGCTCTTCTCCTTCGGAGAAAACCTCAAAAACTTGAGGAAAAAAAAACATTTCTCTTTGCAAAGAAAAGATATTTGAAAAAAAAAATAAGAAATCATTTCTTGCAAAACCATGTGTTATAGATGCTTGTGTCGTGTAGGATATCTCAGCTATCGGGTGGTTCATATATATTCGAAGAAAGAGAGATACACATGTAATTAATTCAACCTTGTCTTAATAAACGAGCGTTTAACTGTTATATTGTGAAAAGATGTTCATTAATAAATTATAAATAATGTACATTCTCGCGCGAGAGAAATTATGTGAGTGAATAAACTTACAAATTTGTAGCTCTTCCAGTAATCGGATTAAATTTATGATCTGTGTGTGTATATACAGGCATACACACATCATACACATATATATATATATATACATATATACACATATATACATATATATATATATACATATGTATATGAGATCAATGGATCTGTAAATCTGTAGATCCACGGATCTACTTTATTCTTCAAGCCCTAATGCTATAAATTTGTAGAAGCATAGGCATTACAACACTCTCTATTGATCACAGTGTAAATCTATAAATTATAATAGATTTACGAATTTCTCGCACACACAATCTATATTTTTTTTTTCTTTTTTTTGTCTTTTGCGCAACTGATGCTCTCTTATCTATTGTAATACATGTTATAATCCGCACGATTAATTAATCTAGTAAAAACTACACGAAAAATAATTACATGAAATTTAATACATCAGTTTTTTCTTTTTAATTGCAAATTCATTTTTATTAGGAGGTATACGCAGTTGATGATTGAACGTTGGTTACTCAACATTTTGATCTCTCTCTTCTCTCGCTCTATATATATATATATCTCTCTCTCTTTCACTCTCTCTCAGTTAGGACTCTAAATAAAATATTCGGTTTCGTCAGAATGTAACATCGTGTCAACGCACAAAGAACAACTGTCCCTCACTCTTTTCCGGTTTTCTCTCCCGGTGAAAGAGAGAAGTTAATAATTTGTATAGAAGAGAGAATGTACATGTGTATATATACATATAATATACATATATATATATATATATATATATATAATATATATACACATATACACGGTATAGAATGTAATTATAAATACACATTTTATATTCTATGTCACACCGCATATGTACATGACGAAAATTAAATATAAATTTTTTACGCTGCCAGTCGATCGAGACTGAACATCTTTGTGTGACATATCGACAGTTTGGTTTTTTGAGATCACTGGAGCCTTTGATTTAAGTACGCGTTTTTTCTCAAATATATATATATATATTATTATTATTTTTTAAATTAAATAATTCAAGTATACTCGTGGAGGATTATTTCGATAAATACACCGTGTGTATTAAGCAAAGCATAATAATTTTATAACGTTCTTGTCTCAAACGATTAGTATATGTAGTTCTTTTCGCGCTCTATTATACTTCAATCTATTCTATAAATGTGTGTAGTAATTAACTACGTGCGCGCGCGCGAGTGCTCTTTAAGATTTTCTCTTCTCTGTCTTTTCGTATATTGCTATATAATTAATAATTATAATATATGTATGTATATATGTATATATATATATAGTAGCTTCGTTTTTTTTCTCAGAACTTTATTCAGTAAGTACTAAAACGCACGTGAAAGAATTGTTTTACAACCACTACGATAATATTTCTGTCAATACATGAGTTATAACGATGCTGCAATGTATGTGTATGTGTTTCCTTCGTTATACATGACTGTAATCGCATAACTATATTTCGAAAGTGCGAATTAAATAATAATATATAATCTGAATAGATCCTTGGATTTACAGATTATTGCAATTGTTCGTATGTCGATCAAATTTTAAAATTTTTTTTGAACTTTTTTGTTCACTTTCTGCGTGTGATTCGTACCAATTTCTAAATAATAGATCGTTGCTGTCACGTATTTTCGGATATAAGTTTCTTGGGCCCATTGAGTCTTAAGTGTAACAGATCGTTGACATAGTCGGAATCCTCGTGCTCACTCGTCACTTGTTTTTTTTTTTTTTTTTTTTAAGTCAACTATCGTGATTTGTGTTCTATATTTCATGGATTTTTAACGTATTTCTTTGTCTTTATGTTTATATATCTTTGTTAAAATGAATATTTTTTCACACGCGCACACACACACGCGCGCGCCTTTCACGCACCACGCGCATTCGCACACACACACTCACTCACACACATACACAGAGACTCGGACCTATAAATTCTTGAATTTTCGTTTTGGCGTAATGTCATTCGTTTTGATGGATATATTATTGATCAAATTTCTCATTCTCTCTCTTTCTCTCTTTTTCTTTCTTTTTCTAGATTGAGAGATTTGTGAGACAAAATTTACATACTATCTCCTTTAAACTAACAAGTGTAACTCCAAGAACTCATGTATGGATATATTTTAAGTATCGAGAGAAATCTATTGTTAAAGTTAAAAATTTTTCGGTAATTAAATTCAACACATTTGTTGATTCGGAATCAATACAATTAATATGTATTTTAAATGTTGAAGATCCCTTCAAATTTAAGTTTCAATTCTTGAAAATTCTCACACACGTCACAATTAATATTTCTTTTCATTAAAACTCTTCTAATTTACAGACTTTTAGACTCATGAATATAGATTGAGCAAATAAACAAGCAAATCGCGCGTCTGGTTATAATACTTATGTTGGTGATATATAAATCACGTCACAAACTTATGCATCGAACGCGTCACTGTCCGTTTATCTGTCTGTTTTTTTCTTTCTTTCACTCTCTTCTCTCTTCTCTCTCTTTCTCCTTCTTTCTTTTTCTCTCTTACACACGCACGCATACGCACGTATACATATTAAATATAAAATTTATTAAATAAGAGTTTTTCTTCCACACTTAAAGACATTATATAATTATATAATTGTTTTTTAATATAATCGAACAGCTTAAAGAAAAACTTGCCGATCTCTAGAAGTCTGTAAATTCGAGCATTTGTAAAGCTCAAAAGTTAACAGGTTCTCAACAATCTGCGAATCCGAGTAGTAGTTTTACATACAAGAGTCCGTAAGTTCCGCTATATTATTATTATTATTTTTTTTGCATGGCATAAAGCATGCATCACATAGAATCCTAGCTCCTCATAACATATTCAACATATATTTCTGGATAGCAATAACCATTCGATTGCTTCCGCCAATTAAAACTTTTTTTTTTTTTTAATACTTATACTCCTCCTATTTTCACGCGTCTTTCTCTCTTTAGTAACATTCTTTTATCATAGCAGATTTTTCAATATTGTAACACTTAACTTTAAAAATCTCAAGTAAAAATATCCAGAGAACAAAGGAATACAAGTAACAAACATGTTAATATATTATAAATATAATATACATATAAATGTAAATGTACGCGTACGCAAAGGACAATTATCATATATATATATATATATATATATATATATATATATATTTATGTGTGTGATAACTTTTATCGAGTGTGATACAAATAGAATTCTCCGATCGGGTGGTAATATGATCTATATGTATATGCGATGCTGTTAAATACGTATAAGGCAACTTGAGCAACACACATCGTGTTTATTTAAATAAAAAGAACATTTCTTACAAACTAATCTTTGTAAACGTATATCAGCTTTTATTTGATGACTGAAAACCGATTGTTATGCATTTTGCGTGAAAAACTTGATGGTATACTGTAATGAACAGAAATTTTTGATACAGAAAGATTCAAAATCGCAATTGTATATGTATATATGCACATATATATATAAACATAAACATATATATATATATATATATATATATACATTTCACTGATCAATATTAATTAATAACGTCGATGAAATTTCGCTGGCAGAAATCAACTTTATTACGCAGCTTGTAACTTCACCCCGAATTTTGATAGAACACACCGACGGACGGCAACACCGTCACGTTGTTATATATATATATATATGTTACTCTTACGATCGATTTTATCAGAGAAACTTTTATCAACACCGCCTGAACTGGTTTTTTTTTTTTTTCAATAACGTTGCGAGTTACCTTTATCATTCTGCTACTTCGATAACAATTAGTCCAAATGAGCTTAGCACGTACTTGTACCCCTTTGTGCCTGTTTTGTCTTCTATTAGAATTCGCCGAGCGAATTCACTCTCTCATCTCTCGGTGAAGAATTCATTTTTGTTTTTTTTTTGTTTTTTATTTTTTTGCCATTGCCCAGGAATTTTTCACGAAACGACATGTCAAGATGTGATCTTAGCGACGGGCAAAAGCGCACTAATTGCTATTATACAATACATCTACGTGGCTTTGAATCAAGATCAATCAATTTTTCATCCGTCGATTTTTAATTTAACGCCGTGCAAACTCATCGGCCGAGCTCGTCGTCGCGAAAAGGAACATGTATGTGTGATGTAAAGCTCAAAAGATCTAATTACACGTAACTACATTTTTTTTTTTTTTTTTTTTTTTTTTTTTTTTATTTTTTTTTTAACTAAGGGAGGATCTCTTGCGCGCGCGCGAATTAAATATTTATACGAACGATCGACTAGCCGTTCGGTGGTCGAGATCACTCCCCGTGCGATGGCACGACCCTGTGGTAGAAATTAAGGGTGGATACCGCTCTCTCACGGTTTGTGCGGGATTGTTCGTTTCATTTTTCTTCCTTCTTCGTTTTGGTTTTTGTGCACTTGAAATTTATTGCGGTCGATCGCTCCGTCGATTTCACTTTCTCGTTGCTATTTTTTTCTTGCATTTCGATTCCTTTTTTCTTTTTTGCATTACCTCTTTTTCTCTTTTTCTCTCTCTCTCTCTCTCTCTCTCACGCTCTTTCTCTGTCCGCCTTTCGTTTCTTTTGCTCTTTGATTTTTGTCTTTCTCTTGTTGGCGATACTGAGGCGGATCGCTGTCGCGATTGTTTTAAGTACGACAAGGACGTGATGAGCTGATGAAAATGACAACAGCGTAGGTGGAGAAAGACTGGAGCGGTATCGGCAAATAGAAAACCTGGATGGTTACGGGGTGTGATCGCGGTCGGCCAACGAGGCAGTTTTGAATAAAAGAAATGTCTTCTCTCTGTTTTTTTTTTTTGTTTTTTTTTCTATACTCTTTACGGCTTCCTACTTTAAACGCGGTTGGTAGCGGTGATCTGGCGATTTGCCGCGATAATCCAGACTTAATCTACCATCAGTTCGAAGTGCACCGAGCCACGTCTCTCGAATCTATCGTGAATAATGTTGTGCGCCCACGCCTTACATTCGATGTTGATGAGCACTCCGTCTATATGAAATCAAACAAGTTTCTTTTTTTGCAAACTTCGATGTGTATATACAGATTTTTATTTATATACTATTTTTATTATATATATTTTATATCGAAGGTGTAAAAATAACAAAGCGTTCATACGTACATTTGGGCTTTTCGAAGAACACAGCTACAAGAGGGCTCAAATATCCCGGAGTATTTACGAACGGGAAATAATAACCGGGAAAACCGCGTCGTGGAATGTATTGAATAGCGCCCATGTTCTCCACATCGGCCGGATGTTCGCCAGCACAGGATACCCACACGGTGTCCAATCTGTTGGCAACTTCCTCCTGTCTGATATGCTCCTGAAGATCTACTGGCATCGTAGACGGTAAGTTTTTCGTATCGTTATAGAATTGCGGTTCCCATCCGAAAATCTGAAATAAGTGTAGATTATATGACGATATTTTATATATTTTTATATATATAATAATAACAGCTTTATTTTTACACAATATTTGTATTTTATATAACGTGACGTTTTTCTAAAGGACAATGTATTCGTTATGTGTGTCTCCACACAACTGGACTCGATCTGACATGAGAAACAATCGTGCGCGCACACAAACCTTATTTAGTTTTAAGAAAATGCAAGGCGCAGATTTGTTGAAGCCGTATTTGTTTTCCTTCGTGCATTGACCCCAGTTGGCCATATCGACGTCGCACACTTTTCCCTGTGGCGCTGGCTTACCATAATCGCAGATCACTCTTCGGTCAAAGTCGTTTGTACCGCTCGTCGGTTTTTGATATTCTGCATTACACACAAAAATTACGTTTTCTTTATTTGGCAAACTTTTATTTTTTGCATTCTTTCATTTTTTTTTAACATTAATTAACGCATTGATGACCCGCGGTTCCGCGATAACTTTTGCTCTGGAAGCTTTATCGTTTTTTTTACGCATGATTTCTTTACGTCAATGACGTAATGAATGAAAAATAGTCAACGACGTAGAATATTTTTCAAACCACCTGATTGTTAACACGTGTGTGGTGTTGCAAAACATACATGTGGCATCGAAAATTGCTACTCAAGAAACACATTTTGCTTCTTGAAGGTAATTAATAGGCAAGTGAAACAAAGAAGATCGAGGAAGTGGAAATAGAATTACTTTCGGTCTCGTTATTTTGTGTTTGCACTAAAGATTGTATTGCGTTTCGCTCAGGTGTCTCACCTTTCAAGAATTTGTCCAACATGTTGGTCCAGTGAAGGTAATTACCCTCATCGCTAGCCTTGTACCAAATCAAGGTACTTTCGACGTTGCTCTCAGGAGGCATTGGTCTGAAACCGAGACCCGGGTTGGTACCAATCAGCGAGTTATCCAGCTTCCATTTTGGTGCGTTCGGGTCCAACGTTTGATAGAACACGGCGAGCATCGCACCAAAGAAACCAGATAGGACGGCATAGAAAATCACGTAGAACAGCAAAATCTTAGCTGAAAGTGTAATTACGTTCGTAAGAATCCACTGTGAGAGAATTTATATCCTACAAGACAAGATTTTTTTCGACTTGAGATGTAATTTCAAAGGCGTACATAATTTTTTACGTATATATGTATCTACTTCAAACTCTTGAAATCCAAAATAACTATATATTTTTTTTATATAAAATCTAGTTTACTTTTCTCTAAGTTTTTTTTTTCAAACATCTATATTTGTCGATATTAAAAAACAAAATTTGTGATAGAAATTAAATGACGTCAAATGTCATCATATAGATATTTCGATTTAACAGTTACATTGAATAAAAGAGATTTATTATTTTATGTTATATTACAATTTAAGTGAAAATTGAAGTGATAAAACAAATAAAAAACTAAAACTTCAATACTAATTATTTCACAAGATAATTTCAATCGTTATTGTTACTACAGTTCGCTCGTCGAAGGCTGGAACAGTCGAGACAATTATGATCTGGCGCCTAATTGGCCTGAATTGGTATTAGGTAAGCGATGCCACGCGTTTGTTACACAAATCATTGACGAATAAACGCTTGTATACGCACAGCAATGTGTCCTCGAAGAAATCAACGCGTTCTCCAGACCAAAGTCTACGCGACCGCTTCTCTCTTTTTTGATTCCATTATAAAATTACATTTTTCTTAGAAATGCATTTAGAAAGGCATTTTTGTTTTATTTTGTTAATTATCGTCGAATATATTTGTAAAATTATAACAAAAAAGTTTAATAGATGTGATATTATTTAACAATTTTCTTTAAAGTCTAATGAAAAATTTATACGCAATTTTATCTAAATACCAAAATTTTATATAAATAATAGTCGATCCTTTTTGTTCGTTAAATTACACTTGAATTTACGTATTGATTGTTTTTTATGACAAATGCGATCCCATTATTCTCAGAAACAGAAGAAGAACTTTCCTACTGTTAAATAGGAGATGGTTTTTTGAAATAAAAAAATCTCAACGCGCGGCTTAAATTGAACCGATAAAGTGAGATGTGAGAGAGAGTTGAGTAACTTCTTGAGTTATTATTCTTCACATCAGTGACTCTCCCTTCATCAATGACTGCGCGTTATTACGGAGAATCACTACAGCAACGTAACATTTCCATGGCTTTTTGCGACATATCGATCGACTCGCTACCGAATGCGACGACGCGAGGTGCTATGTTTCTGTCTTCAAGTAGGCCGTTAGGGCATTCTGTTTTGACGTACAATGTACATGAACATGAACAACACTTTAGCTAATTAATTCAGTTCTTAGCGCGATATAATTACACAAAAACGACATGCACACGGAACATTTTTCACTGCCGTCAATTTTAGTAGAAACTTTTCCTCGTGTTTTTCGAAAGATTTGTATAAAATCGGATATAAGACGTTCAGCCACAAAAATTGAGTGCGCTAGTAACGCGCAGACGCTAGTGCTATACAGTATAGAAATGAGAGGCCATACCATTTCTGTGGGATGGAGACGACTCGTATTGATCTCGGCGGAAGTCGATCGACTTCAACCCAGAAGAATGAAAGAGAAAAATAACGATAACAATACTCCGTATGTGTAAATACAATTGTAAAAAGTCGAAAGTTTTATATCGCGCACGCATAAAATAAAAGTACTGAAAAGCGTTCCACGTCTCTCGCGAAATTATTACTGCATATATATTTTATTCAACACCGCAGTGTGAAATATCTTTTATTTTCTTTCTTAACAGTTTCCTTCTTCGATCTAAAATTCCACACTTGTGCGTATTTTTTTCCGCGTTATAATCTGAAGTATATATGAATAAAACGTAAAATTAGAGAACAACGAGAAAGTGTAACGAGGTCGTATTGTTTCCGTAAATAATCAAAGGAAGTCGCAGGTTGTGATTTTATTTTACGTCCTGTTCCTGCTGGGAGTTTTAGATTATTCATAACAGTAGAATGTTTACGTTTTTTTATGTGTGTGTGCGTGCGTAGTGTGTTTTATATAAACATTTTTTGCGAATTAAAAATTAATTAAAAGTTAAAATTATATTATATAGGAAAAATAATTTGCTAACAATAAGACGTCTCTCGTTAAGATTATTTCATCAAAACAGGATGTGCGTAACGCTACATACGGAATAAAAAGATATCTGGCAATGAGCTAAATCAGTACTAGAGGTTGGTAGAAACCGCACAAGATAGTTCTCGTTTATTTTACTGTACGATATGTAGCACGCGGATATATCGGTCTTTGGTTGTGATCTCTCGTTACCTTAAATTCCCATTAACATTTCCTTTTATATATTTTTTTTTATTTATTTATAGCAGGCTTTAAGTTTAATTTTATATTATATGTGTAGATACATTATACGTGCAAATTTGTATAAAGAAATTTTATTTTGTGATTTTTATAAAACAAAGTTTTTTTCTTATTTATTTGTACTCTTCAATTTACTTGAAATATTTATTTCTGTCTTCAAACAAATGGATTTTAAAGAGAGAAAAAATATACAAAGTTTCCCGCACAATTTAAATATGTAGTTTACTTTAAATCGATATCAAAGATTGTTTCAGTTTTACCAATCAAACTGAGTTTTCGCTAAAAACAAACTTCTGTTTGTGTTGTTTTTATTTAAAATTTAAATCATCGCGTGTAATACTGTGCGCAAGCGAAAACCCGAACGTCGTCGCCTTAACAATATTTCCGACAGAAGAAACTGTGTCTTACGTAACTAGTTTGTCGTCAGATAAATTTTTTTTTTTTTCACTATATATACGTGTACGATGTGCCAGCGTGATGTGACTACACGCGCGCATACATTCCACATAGTAAATTAACTCATCCTTAGACAACAAAAAAAGAAAAAAGAGAGATTACGAACAGTTTATAGACAAATTATATAACACAACGCACATTTGAATCTAAATTCATTTACGCGTAAATCGTTAGTGGTTTTTCTTCGACAGAATTGATTGTATTTGAAGAGCAAAGTTTCAGATCGCGAAGAGGGTATTGTGTCAATTTTGATGGATCGCGAAATGCAATGGCGGAAAGTAACGATAGTTGTGTAATACCGATAAGCGTATCGATGCGCACAGATTGACGAAATATACACGCCGACGTACACCAAAAGAAAAAGAGCAAAGCTTTTGATTTAAAAAAAAAAAAAAAATCAAACGTCACAATAGAATCTAAAAATGAACCAATTATAAACACACTGTGAATCATGAGACAAAAGGTACAAATTTTTCATGTATTTGTCATCGTGTATGTTACATTAGTATATATGTATTGTTATGTGTGAAACATGTGACAACAGAAATGACAATATGCTAAGAATACAACAATTTTCCGGTCCAGAAGATGTGGTAGTCGCGCGCACAACTACTACCTTTGACGTACTATTATGTAATGAGAGAGTTTGCCGCCATGTATATAACCTTCGATATTCGTATCTTTTCAAACCTTTACGTCTTTAACGCGTCTAACCAATATCAGTTTGAAAAAAAAAATTCTCTCTGTCATCAGTTTTATAAAAATAAAATATGCAAAAATAAAATAACCACATCGTAACGGGAACAGATTTAGCACTGGTGATGGTGGCTCAACACTCTCTTGCCTCGTTTATTTGTCGGTCTGATATGTTGAGAACGCATAATTTATCTTGAATTTTGTGAGTTTACATCGTGTCAAAATTCTCTTTGTTTATCTCTGTGTCCTCAGCGCGCTAATTTTAGCACAAAGGAAACAAAACGTACTGGTTGCGAAATGTTGACTGGATCGAACGGAAGAGAATCACGAAACATTTAACAATGCGCAAACAATTATTAAACCGACAAAAAGCAATAATGTCACTTCGATATTTTAACGTTTTCTAATTCTATCACAGATTTTTCACACTACTTTACGGGTAATGACGTCAAGTTTTTGCATTTATTATAGCGGAAAAAGTTATAAACGTGCGAAATTCTAATGTGATATTAAAAAAAAAAAAAGTGATTTGAATGGTGCGCGATAATCTTTTATAATGATTTTCATTTAAAAAATCCAACCGTCACTTAAAATTAGTTGAATTGTGACAAACAGTTAGATCAGTTTTAATTTGTGAAGATACGCGTGCCATTTTTTTTCTACGATTCGAATTTTATTGAGATACCGCAATGAGACGTTTCCAATGCCGTGAAAATTTGTCCAAATCGTGTGAATGTTCGTGCCATCTAATGATACGCGAATATTTCACAATTCTCTACACTCGTCACTGTGACCTACTTCAAAATGTGTGATTTAAATCAGTTGTGCGGTCTATCTACGTACAAGATGTTAAATATTGTAAAAAAGGTTTTGAGTTTCATACAAATTAAAAAATAATGACAAGAATAACAGAAGACATCAATTTTCGTCTTTCTCAAAAGTAATTTTACGCGCAACGGAAGGAAGACGAGTGAGAAAGGAAGGATTCAATGGAGGTGACGCGTGCATGAACTACAAAAAATGACAAAGTAAATATATTATAAATCATTAAAATATTTCAATGCTCACCCCAACTAGCGCCTGTACGCCCCAAGAACTGTCCCGTCTCGGAGTTCCAGAGGAAGATGCGAAAGCCCTCCCATTTTCCAAGCTTCGGCGGAGGGGTGTAGTACTGCTCGACTTTCTTGCCCTCCATCTCGCAGCACGGCGGCGGAAAATGTCCCGACGATGAGAAAGATGAGGAAGCGCGAGAAAAAGGCTGGTGCTTTCTGGGGCGACAGACAGACAGACAGACAAACGGAAAATTATGCTGCCAGCCGCGCGCCTAAATCTTTTTCGTGGGCTAAGGACTTCCTCCGGCCGTCTGGAACGTTGGCCGCGATCGAACAGCTCTCCGCAGGCGAGGGCGCAAAGGAAGGAATGAAAGTACGTCGATTCGTACCCCCCGTCTGTAGGAGCCGCTGCGCGCTCTCTCTCTCGGCACTCCCGTCTGGCGAGGGGTTGAATATTGAGCGATCGAAACTGGCCCGACCTCCGCGAGAGCTTTTCAGTATTCTCTTCCCCTCGGCGCCTCCACTCGGGATTCTCTACGGAAGCAACGCGCCGGCGTGACCACGCAAACGCGTCAATACGTGATTTCCTTAACACCCCTCTCTCTCTCGCGGTGTACGATCACCCCTTGAGTTATCCCTCACCACTGGACGAATCACGAACCAGGTGGCTCCACTGGCGACGGCGACGGCGACGGCGGCGGCTGGCAACGGCGCGCACTCACCCCCTCATGGATTTCAGCCCCTTTCTCTTCCCACCCTCTTTCGGTTTTAGCTCTTTTTGATCGACCCTATCACCCTCGTGCTGCGGACTATAATACGACCGAGCCTACACAATGGTACGCAGCAGACTCGCGTATCAAGTTTCTTTTTCTTCCGCGAGGAGGCGAATATTGGGGAAATGGGGTAGGTATAGGGAGGGTAGGGGCGGCTGATGTTGGGGTGAAGGGGCAGAAGTCGCGGAAAAAAAAGAAGAGAATGGTAAGGAGATACTGGGTCACGTGTGGAGAGCGTCCGACTGTCGCGGCTGACTGAGACAAAGTGACAGCCGCGAGCTTTTCTTGCTTGCAAATTGTTTCCAACAAACCTCCGCGGGCGTATCTGGTCGATGGTAGAGCGACCGTTATCGCTTAGCGATACACGGCTAACTCTTGGTTACCCGATATGCGTCAGTGATACGTATGATGACGTAGTACTTAATATGCAAATTTGCTTGTTCGCGATCATGTTGTTGTTCGGACAAGTATTCATTTTAACGATTGCATTTAATTACACAATGCAAATTACAGAGGGCGAACAAAATGTGTGTCAACGCGCGAAGGAACTTTTTTTCTATACGGAATCAAGGCACCTTGATTGCAATTTAAAAAGCGCCTATCGTTAGCGCTTTGTTGCATTAGGAAAATGCAAGGTGTGATCGCGTTGCTTAGCAACAATCACAACGTCAGATACGGTTGCAAGTCCGTCAAAAATAATCTTTGCAACGTGTTCGCCGTAACTCTTTATATAATCGGATCAGTACAAACGGTAATATATAATTTTGCGGGAAAAAAAGCTTCCGTTGCGTGCAGTTTCTTTAAACATACCGGCTTGATTAACGTGTCTTGCAATTAGACGATTACTTTTCATTCTCTTGAATCATCTGTTTAAAAAAACAAAAAAAAACTGTATCCGGCGGTGTTGGATGTATGAAGACCGCGGCATTGAATCGATTCCGCGAGAGGGGAAGACGATACCTCCTTCTGTGCGCGCTGGTTTACTTCGGTCGTCAGCGGCTAACCGACGCGGCGGTGGACAGCGGTTGACGAGAGAACGCGACGCGAAGAAGAGCAGCCTCTTTCCCCTCTCGCGGAACCGACCGACTCAATGTCGCGGCTGTGTACGTCTTAACAAAAAAAACTATTATAAAAAAATTATCCTCTAAGATCATCTTGAAAAAAAACATCCCTCGTAGCATACGTAGTGTTCAAGCGATAAAATTTTAAACAATTATCTTTTCTGTATATATACATTTGTGTGTATGTGTGTGTATGTGTGTGTGTGTAAATAGTCTTATATTAAATATACTTGTAATTGATATTCCTGCAAATATAAAATGTTTATATACACATGTATATATTACATTCTCAGAGAAATAATAATTATATTTATATATTTCAAAAGATGTGACACATATACATGCTAACACAATATAAGTTGCGCATTTAAAAGAATTATATGTATATAATATATATATAGTATATAATACATATAGGCTTTCTTAATTGTGGTTTTTATATATATATATATATATATGTATAATGTATATATAGAAGAGTACGGGCTCTTAAAAAAGTTTAGATTCTTGTTTTTTTATTTATTATTTTTACTATACACATCTCTGTCTTGTACTCCCTTTACAATACATTTTTTTTTTGTGACAAATGCATAATCTAATTCTAGAGTACTTCGTGAATTTCTTTTTTGATTGATTTTTTTTCTATAAATCTTTTTTTTTTTTTTTTTTTTAATTTATCCATATTCACAACTTATGAACAGAGTAATATGTATTATTCACAGTCACTATACAAATTTTGTTCGACACATTTTGTTGATACATATTCAACAACGGACGTAATCAACTTGTCTCAACACTCGAAAAGTCAAAACGATTATTTCAACCTCTCTCTCTCTCTCTCTTTTTTTCTGTCGCTTTCTATCAAATTTTTAACTATATAGTAACACCTTGATATTACTCGATTTGAGAAGAGTCTTGTACTTTTATTTTAGTTTTCCAGCCATTGTGCTTTTACGCGCCGGGTTGGGGGAGGGTGGACAGGGAATTCGTAATTCTAGAAAAAAGTTCAATACTGTGAGAGAGAGAAACAATACGAATTAATGAAAAGAATACAAATCTTACAATGACATTATCAAAAACGCATTCTCTCAATATGATATAAATTATCTAATTTAGTATCGAAATGTTTGATTTTGCTTTGAAAATTTGTCACTAATCGTGCGAAAAGATGAAATCGAAAACGAAGATCCAAGCCTTTCGGGAGGTGTTCAGAGTGTTTTTCTATAGTACTTGTATGTATATATATATATATGTATATACACATACACGACAGCCGTTCTTTTAACATTCTTGTAATTTTTTAACAGTAACAGGAACTGCAATATCTAATGCCCAATATATAGTCAACTCCTTTCAATATTTGGAACCAGTTTTTTTCTTTTTTAGCAACAAACAAGTACGCGTGCCAGAACGTGCCCAACGTTCTTCCGCGAATGGCATTTTTGGCCATTCGATGTCTTCTTTCACTCGGATATTTTCTCAATGCGAGAAAAAAAAAGGCTGTATACAAGAACTACAGAAATAAAATACGGAATTAAACGCCGATATGCTTAACGGATGTCCGAGAACTGTTCGATAATTTCTTCTAGTACCGCAGACTTTCAATAAACGCAGAAGAGTGTGCCGGAAGAATTATATTAACAAGTATTTGACTTGATATTATTTGCTCTTTTTATTTTTTACAACGTTAAACGCTGTGATGTATACATGTTTTTCTGGCATATTGTTCTCTGGTGTATTATACTTTTAAAAACTTTTCGATTCGATTTGCATATTGTCCTTCAAAGCTCTTCTATTCGCTGTTGTCGCATTTTGATCTCTTTTGTTAAATTAAAAAAAAAACTGTGTCCGACATGTTTTATGTGAATATGTTCTATTGATCAAAGTGAATTTTTTTTTATGTCATTGCTCAAACTAATGGCTGCAGCGAGTCGCGAGAAGCTTTGAATCGAATTTTTCAAAACATCGCGACGTTTCATGTCAAATTATTTTTCTCTATACAATACGCTCACTTTCCAGAATGTTTCTCTTGATGAGATGATTTGTCCAATATCCGTAGTTCAAAGGACATCCGTTGTTTCTAAGTTTTGTTTTTGTGTCTGGTAAAAAATCGTAGAATGACGGTAAGAAAGGTTTCAAAGATGATCTTTCTATGAGAATGAATGAAATTGCAACACCAGTGCATTGCTCGTCGCTGTATAGGGCAACAAAAAAAAATCAAGAGAGGATGTAGCATATACTATTCAGATATTAGAAGAAATGAGCAAACAGAAAACGATTATAACAACAAATGTGTCATGTCCTGTGTAGAGTTCATTACGATATAATTAAATACGACAGATATATTTCGCAACTTAATCTCAATGAGACAAATTTTCTGACATCAGAAGAGTTACACAATTTTGTTTTTTTTTTTTTTTTGCGCAAATAAAAGCAATTAAAAATTATTTTTTTGTCACAAATCGCTCATTAACATTATTTCTTGCATCTGTGTAACAAGTACTTTATTTAAATAAATCTGTAAAAATTGAGATTAAACAAAGAAACCCTCGTTGTGCACATTCTATTTTCCTCGACATTTTTAGTAAAGACATTTCTTCTTGCTCGTAAGTGTGAAAATTATTGCTATCACCCCTTCCTTTCTCACGCGCACGCACACACAAATACACAAGCACGTACGCGAGCATATAAATTTTCACCGAAAATTGCGGTTTCAAACTTGTCAGAAAATTTATCATTGAAATTTAAGCCAGAAATGATATAATGAATGTTTGTTTTTTTTTTTTCTAATACGTAATATTTATCATTTTAAATTCTTAGCTTGATCTTTCATCAAAAACATTGAATCTTTAATTAGTGCCAAGCGTCTCTATATTTTTATACTATGTAGTTTTTTGTTTTACAAACAATTTCGTTGTCGCATAAAAGATTGAATGAAAAACTGCGATAATTAGTGAAGGAAAGTGCGTCTCCACACCAACTGAACAATCGTGCATTGCTTAGTTTTTTTGTTTTTTTTTTTTTTGGCTTTTTTGTTTTTTTTTAGGTAAAACCTTCCACCGGACATTCAATATTAAATAAACCTGTTTTTGTAAATTCTATTTTTCGATTTGTCTGTTACATTTAAGATCACAGTATGAAATGATTATTACAGTATTACTTTGACGACGGCAATTCTTACGCATTTTATTGGTGCAAATAAAATTATATGTATATATATATATATGTGTGTATATATATATATATATATATATATATACACACACATATGTATGTATATGTATGTATATATATTTTTGTACAACTAGAAAACAAATACTCTGTTGGCAATTTTTCTGACGTTTAAACAAATGCATTACTTCGTCGTATGCAATATTACTTAAGAGCGCAATCCTTTTTATTTTATTCAATATATATATATGTATGTATATGTAGCTCAATTTCATTCTGAGTAATAATTCGTAAAAACAAATTTAACTGGTATTTCGAACGACTTAAACAAGATCCGATGAACGTACATCTTTCGGAAGTTGTCCGATTTAGCTTATTAACGCTAAAGCACTTCAGTCAATTCTGTCACTTCTTTTTTTTAGCAACACAACTTTCTTCTAGCTTATTAATATATTGTTCTTTCAATTTTCCAACTATCTTGTAGACTTTGTTTTTTATCACACAATATCTTTCTTCTCTTTACGTTTTTGACCGAGAAATATTTTTGTATAATATCATTGTTTATACAAGAAAATATGTATGTGTATTTGTGTGTGTGTGTTTGTGTATGTAATTTTCTATTTATGGGAATGGGTTTTCGTTCGTAAAACCCAATTGTAAAAGTTTGTCCACGTATAAATTCATTCGAGCTGCGGTACATTTGTCGAGATAAAAGTCCAAAATGAATATCTTTTAAATGCACCAGCGGTTCATTTGTGCCAGCAAAGTGCCTTCTTTCATGTCCAGTTTTTACCCTGCGCTGTTGGATGCTCCCTAAGAATGTATTGCATCAACAGTGTCTCAGCTTTGGTTAACTAATTCATTTTAAGTTTCGATACATACTAGAGGAAAATGTATATAATTTTTTTTTTTTTTTTTTTTTTTTTGCACATAACGAGAGCACACAAATCATAAAAATACGTTCCCAAATTCTTACATATTACACAAAATATGTGCAAACGTATTATATAAAGAGAGAGACACTTCTATGTAGTTTAAGATTCAACAATATAGATATCTATCGTGATACTATGTGTATGAGGGTGTCTCAAAACTACTGGACAAATATTTTAACATGATTCTGCAGAACATTCTCTAAGAAATGAAAATTCTCATTACAGAACTTAATACATTTTGCGCTCTCAAATGTAACTACGGAGTTATCTTTTATGATACAGTTGTTATTGTGAAAAAAAAAAACATTTTAAATGGTAAAATATTTTCAGTAATTTTCGAGACATCCTGTTTGTATGTACATATGTTAGTGTCCCAATAAAAATGGTGAAGAAAAATAGATAAAAAATTGTTTAATTTTTAAATATAGAAAACACACTCGCACACTGTATATCTTATAGGTCAATCCGAAAATATCTTGTACTTTATAAATAAGTTTCTGAAGAATTGCAATTTTTCAGATGTTAAACAATGCAATAAGTTTGCTTGATTCTGTTTTAAATAATAGTAATAATAATAATAATAATAATATAATAATAATAATAATAATAATAATAATAATAATAATATAATTTTAGCTCTACAATCTAGACGGATGTATACAGAGAAAAGAAAGACTTAGTTAACCACGCCTAACACCAACGTTGCTGCAATTGAACGCGTAAAAAAAAGCTCAATTGATCACGCTCAAAGACATGGGCAATCGATAAAAGTCGTATAAAATCCGTTTTTCAAATGCACGTGCAATCGCTTGGCTACTCGTGTATAAACAATATGAGAGAATCGCCGTCTAACTACACTAACTACAAGATAAGAAACGAGTGTGAGCAGCAGAGACATATGTATATACTATACACATATATAAACGAAATACATAACATACATACTTACATACATATACACATATATATACATATATATATTTACTTATATACATATACATATATGTATCGTAATTACATACACACGCGGACAAACACACACATAGGAGTGCAACGGCAGGCAGATGATCGAACACTTTTGGTTTGTCCTCTTACTCTCTCTTCTAATTTCCTTCCTCTTTTCTCTCCAATATCTGTTTTTTTTTGTTTTTTTTTTGTTTTTGTTTTTTCACTGTCTCTCTTTCCACCACTTGCATGCTATTATTCTCACGTATACATACATAAAATACATACACACGTACGGTCGCACATATACATACACATACACACACAATCTCTATCTCACATGTATATTACACGCTGTTAATTCTTTTAACATGTTTCTTTAACGTGTTCCATCGCGCACGTAAGAATTGAGAAAAAATATATGTACATAAAAACATCGTGGCGTAGCGGCGATATAGTAGAAGTAACAGTACTAGTTTAATAGTAATAGTAGAAGTAGTAATAGCAATAATAGTGTAGACACAGTAGATTAGAAGTAAAACTATCGATTTGCTCAATATAGTCGAACCATTTTTTTTGTGTATGTGTGATTTTCGCTTTGACTTTCCCTTTCTATTTCGGAGCAATGATATAATCTTTTTTTTTCTTTTTTTCTTTTTTTTTTTTTTTTTTTTTTTTTGTATTGTTTCTTCGCATCTCTACTTATAGCTACTCGATAAGAGAAGAATTTAGGACACCGGGGGAAAAAAAATAATAAGAGCTCTTCACAGACAGGAGGAGGCGCCGGCCGCGTCACGGACGATGAACGACCGACAGATATCACTGAGAAAAACGCGAGTCACTATTTTAAACTTAAAACCTCTCGAAAATGTGTCCTACGGTAAAAGAAATACAGACAAGTTATGTTCCATATATGGCGCGGCTTCTCGTTCTTTTCTCAATTATCTCTCAGTTCGCCTCTACTCTTTCTTTTGTACAATACTACTACACCATATTTTTTGTTTTTTGTTTTTACATAGTTTTGTGATAAAATCACTATACGGTTGCTATTATACATAAGAGAACCTGCAAAAGACCGGTATTATAAACCACAAAATGTCCTTGATTAGAAAAACTTTGTTGCTGTCGTTGTCGTGCTTAGCATTGGCGTCATAGTCATCATCATCATCATCATCATCATCATCATCATTATCATCATCATCATCACCATCATCATTATCGTTATTATAGTCATTGTCATCGTCGTCATCATTGTCTTAATTATTATTATTTTTGTCAACGTCAGAATAATTGTCATCGTCATCGTTATCGTCATTGTCGTTGTCATCGTGTCGACTGCAGGATAGAAAATTAAGAAACCAAATTGAAAACTGCGATAGAGGAGAGAAACGGCAGCAATTGTCATCTTGTGACGTCTTATCTTTAGATCGGTTCGTACGAACATATTGGTGATTACAGTAGGAATGCCGGTGAAATTGGTAGTGATGAGATGGTGATAATGGTGGTTATAGTGAAAGTGATGGTGATGACAATAATGGCAATAGTTGCGGCTATAGTGACGGTGAAAATTGTGACGGGTAGTAGCACAGTGGTCCATGGCAGGGGATCACTTGTCGGAACTCGGACACTCCCCAGGCTGCTTCATTATCGTGTAATCCAATCGGTACTGAGCTGAAATTGAAAGGATTTCGTGTTCGTTGTGATAACACGTAGTGAACAAAACGTGTAAGATTCAAAAGTGAAACCATCTAACACTTATATCTAGTCACATAAAGCTTCTATGTTCTCACTCTCGCTCTTTCACTCTCTTTTACGCACACACACACATAACCATAAACATAAAAAAAAAGACACAAATATATAATTTTCTACATCTACACGATACTTTCTAAAACCATTGGATGATTCTTGATGACAAATTTCTTGAACTATTTTAAGATAAAAATCTTTTACGACAAAAATATAAATACTTTTTTAAACAGAAGCAATTATAAAATTCGTTATTACATCATTTTCGATGATTTTAAACTATTCCAAAAACATATAAACTTAATAATGTTAACATAACCGCTTTCGCGGTTTGTCGAGAAACAAGAATTTCTGAAGATGGATACTGGTATCAGACTCTTGAATCCTGATAAAATAAATTGAAATGTTCACAAAAAGTTCATAAAAATTACACTAACGCGGTTCAAATTCGAAAACCATCTTCAGAAACACTATAAACTTGTTCTGTTACAGAATATCTCGTATGCAAAACATTTTCTCACTAAAGTGTATGTTAGCTTTTGAACTCTCTTCTTCCTGTCTCATTTTGTTTTTAATTTATTTTAAGTTTCACTGAGATTCATAAAGATTCTTGATAACGTAATAATACGCTCAATTACATTAAGATGGCGTACCTTTCTTCGTGAGATCTTCCATGGTTTGATCCTTGCAGTCTATTGCAAGATGACTACTGCTGCCGCAATTGTAGCAGGAGATTTTAGTCGACGGAATTACAGCTGCCGCGTACGTGACTACAGGCGTGGGCGGCATGTATGACGCTTGTACCGGCGTCGCAGCGGCCGCGTTCGGCGGCGGTGGAGGCGGGGTGCTTCCAGACGCAGGATGCCCCGTATACGGATACATAATTTCGCCGTTCGGCTGGTACGGCGCCGGATAGGCTGGTCGCGTCGACGGTCCGTGTAGGAAGTTGGAGTAGATGCCACTGCTAGGCCGTAGCGCTGCCGGGAAGTGGCCTTGTGGTAGATACGTGAGCTGTGACGGTGGAGCAGGGAAGGAGACACAATGCGATAAACTCGGCGGTCCGTTGTTCCCGTTACCTCCTGCTCCATTCAATATTCCTTGATTCTTCTGTCTCATTGCACGCGTCTGTGGATTTTTTCTAGTAAGCTGCCTGCTCTCCGGTGGCACTGAAGACTGCATTGACTGTTGAGGTGCCGACGCAACATGCGGAGGTGCTGATGTTGTTGAATGCACCGGCGCGGACGTCATGTGATCGGTAACGGGCGATGCGACGTTATTATTGTCCCCGCCGCCGCCGCCACTGACCCATGGTGCGGCCGGTGGTGTTTCAGGAGGTGATCTACTGCCTGTGCTGTCAGAACTACTACTCTGAGAACAGTGACGATTGTTCTCGGAGTCAAGCCGCAACGCTTGCAATTGTGCAATGCAGTACACATGCTGAGCGTTGCATCTGGAAACACAATTCTTCGTATAAGATATTTTTCTCAACAATATTTGAGAAAGAACTCACTTGTATGTACATACCTTGTGTATCGATTTTGCATCCCTACGGGTACTGTGAGGCAAGCATAACAAGGTGAGTTCTGAGTTGTATACATCGGTGGTGGTGTAGGATACATTGGTATTTGCGCGGGTTCTATCGACGGCATGGTGGGATAACGCCGTACATTGGGAGTCATGTGATTGTGATAATGATGCATCGTCACATGCTGATCCTGTAACGGTTTCCCGCTTGAATTATTACTGCTTTCATTCAAACTCTCCATACCTGGCACGCCCTGTACAATGGACGATAAAAGCATTCGTTAAACGCTAAATACTAAGAAATATTACGTTACAAAAACAAAAACATAATCAAAAACTTACAAAAAGTGATTATATAAAGGACAAAAATTTATGCCTAAGATTTCTTTAAGTTACACTCTGTGTAACTCTCACCTCGTTTTCGATCGGTTCGGCAACTGAATGCGCAGTATTACTCGCACCATCCAGCTTCTTATCAGCCGAAACCTGATTCAAGCCGTTAGTAGTTTGGCTTTTGACTATACTTCTCAATTGTCCCACTGCATTTTGTGTTAAGCCAATGTCTCTTAAGTCCTCATCGCTCATTCTTCTGATCTGGAATTCGCACACATACACATAAGTATAAATTTAATGAATTAATGAACGTGACATATTCAGCTTGAAGACATTTTGTTTATATGAAAAAAACTTTTGTTTACCTCATCGAGGGAAAAATTTTGCAAATTGCTCTTAAAATTTGGCATCTCCTTGCCCAGAGTTTCCCGAAGAGAATCGCCAGACACGGACGACCTAAGTCGTGGAGGTGGCGGGAGTTGTTTTGATTGGGCTGCGGGAAGTAGAGTAGACGACGAAGTGTTGTCGACATTGTTGTTGTGTCGAGAAAAGGTCGAGGAACTTGTGATGGGTAGAGGAATGGATCGCGATGGGAGTAACGGTGGTTGACTAGGAAGACTTCTGTTTGTGCCAAGCGCTGGCAAGGGCGGTAAAGAATTATTATTGTTTCCGTTATTGCTGTTGTTGCTGACGTTTGAGCTAGAAATGCTCGGTTGACTGTTTGAGCCGCTCGCGGATGTTGTGAGAGTATTTGAACTGGATTGAGTAACTTGCGAGGACGAGGTGCGTGGATTAACGTTAGTCCTGCCACGGCCCATTGGGGAATTACTGCGACTAGGAGATCGAGACTGTGACGGTGAAGACTGGCGGCTGACTAAGGGAGAAGGTGGATAAGGCAACATGTCGCCAGAGTGATACATCAGCTGGTTTCCCATCATAACCTGACCTGTCCATGGGGGCATCTGGTTCATAGATGGGAAACCGAGATGAACATATTGCGTAGTACCGCCAGATCCCATAGGTATTTGTTCTGGGCCAGGTAAGCACAGACCTGGTGGAGGTATCGTAATACCAGGTGGCATTCCTGTGACCATAGTGTTGTTTCTCATCGCCATTTCTCCTAAACACAATCAATATGAATACATTTCGTTAGTACACTAAGAAAATTTAAAAACTGTAGAACAAAAATATACAAAAAACAATGAAAACACGTGATCTGTGTCTGGAACCTTTGTTTTCTTTACATGTTGATATTAACAAATATGAGAAAGAATATGAGATAACCTACCATGATAAGATTGCATTGGAGGTGGCGGCATTACACAACCACTAGACATCTCAGGTTCCACTAACCTGTCGTTTGAGCTAATGCATGGTGCGCAACCCTGTATAAATTTTACACATATATTTTAATTAAAATATCTTCTATATATGTTTTAACACAAATTTGTCATTTATAATATTACAGCAGAAAACTTTCTTAGAAATTAACAAAACAATTCTTAAATAACATATTGTCATAATTATATACTTTTATATATTTCTTCCACTACTATTATCTAATTTTCAAGATAATAAGTAGTAAAAATTACTCGTTTTTAGAACAAATAATGAAATCTACATTACTTGTGTTGGTTTAAAAGAAGAGTTTATCTTTGAGAGATTCAGACGAGCCTCTTCCTCTTGGAGCTTGATAAGTATATTGCCAAAGACACTCTTCTGTTCATAAGTAAAGGCAGGATGGTTCAGTGCCATCGTATACAGCAGCAGCAACTCTTCTAGTGGTTGATCATCCACATTAAAGGTGGTCCCATTTACTGAATTAGTGATATCTTGCTGATCAAGGTTTGAGAGATTTTTATGCAAGATCGCCGCACATGCATAATTGCACGAATGCAACAATGCCATGTAAAGGGCCAATTTTCTTCGCGTGCGTTTGTCTGTCACATTAGAAGTTGTCAGTTCGGCTACCTCAGAGACGCTATTTGCATGGTGCTCCGTGTCACGAAGATCATTATAGTCCCGTTTACCGATATCCTCGACACAAGTGCCAAGGTATCGTACTTCAAACGGTAAGCACATATTGAGCAATGTGCACATTACATCAATACGTTTGTAACTAAACAAATAAAAAAGAGAGATTAATAATAAATAACTTTTTTCTTAATAAATAACTTCTCTAACTGGCTCATTTCATTCATGTTCATTCTTTCTATTCTTTTCGGTTTGTCATGCAAATAAAACAATAAATTAATGTCACGTCAAACCATCGACAATTCTTATATCATAAAGTTTTAAAAAGCGTTGACTGTTGAATATAAATATATCTAAACTTTCCCTTAATTTGTTTTTTAATTTCTCTCTATCATTTAATATTTATTTTGTTTTTATTATTGTTACTTTAACGTCACAAGTAAATTTTAAATTCATGTTTTAACACTAAAATATACCGTATTATCACCAATATTATTAATAATGTCACAATAATACAAAAGTAAATGTAGATCAATTTTATTATTTTATTTGCTTATATAATTTTATTTTCTTCTTATTCAATACCATCCACATATGCACACAATAGTACTAGAAACTATATATTAGACGAGATCATATTTTAGATTTAAAAAATATATTTTTTTAGATTAAAAAAATATATATATATATTTGAAAAGAGCAACGTAAAAATTATTAAAAAAAAAAAAAAATCTATGCAGCATTTATGAAATCAATATCGAAAAGAAGTAATTTCTGCTAACCGAGACGGTCGCTTTTCGTCGCTTCGTACAGGAAAATACAAGAATTACGAAACGACAAGGACATGAGCGTCCAATGAATTCAATATCAAATCAAGAAGCATGAATAAACAAATAACAGCGCGAAGTAATAAAATAACGATATGTGTTTGAATTTTAAATAATGCGAAATGCGCGGTGATAAAAAAAAAAAACATTACGACGAGAACTGGGAAAGAGAGTAAGGAAGGAGAATATAAAGAATATAAAATAACATATATATATATATAAATGAGAATATTACGAAAGCGTGATAATTTTTGTCCGAAATAAGAATCAAAGCGACGGCAGTCACTTAAAACAAAGTGTAAATAAGATGTGCACGAAGAGGCGTGAGAGATTTCAGTCCCACGCAAACTCGCGAATCGCACGACAACGACGACGAGGACGGCGACGGCGACGACGCGACGACGCGACGACAACGGTTACGCAAAATTACTCCTGAAATATCTCAAAGGAAGATGCGCGCGTTGAAATCGTGCCGTTGCGCTGCGACGCTACCACATTACCTGGACAAATTCCCAAACCATGATACCACGTTCTCCTTACACACCATTGCCAGACAACATTGATACAACTTAGAGGTAGGAGTAAAGTGCAAAGCGACCGGAGCGACGACGGACAACCAACGGGTGCCACTCTATCTCTTTCTTTCTTTCTCTCTCTCTCTCTCTCTTTCTCTTTCACTCGTTTTCTCTCCCTCTATCGCTCCTCTTCTCGCACTATCCTTTTCTCTCCCTCTTCTGCTCTCTCGGCTCGCACCCGCGTAATCGGGTTGACACAATCAGATCCTCTCACAGAGCCGAGAAATGTTTCACAAAACGCGCGTGAATAATGCTCGCCGTCGGAATCCGATGGTGAACAACGACGGGGGACTCCTCACAGATAAGTATACACGAAACGCACAGTGGCGGTATCGACAGCAGCAACACGACGACGCACCGTTAAATGTCCACATTCGCAGTACAGCAGGCGAGGTAAAACAGCGCTGAGACACCGCCGAGAGGAGACGATATCCCAAGTCGGAGGTGGCAACGAACGTCGATAAGCGTAATCGGGCCGCGCGCTGCTCGTGCGTGACGCGAGGGGTCGGCCGGAGACGACGGAGCCTCTCTTTTCGCGAGAGCTTCTTCGCGAGCAAGGAAGCAAACGCGTGGACGGTTGCGCGCTCTGGATGAATACCCCTAGCTTCTAGGGATGGGCGATACTATTCGATTCTTTCAGAATTGACCGATTCTTTTTTTGACGAATCGATTATTTTGTCGATTATTTTATGAGTCGATTCTCGATACCTCGATTTTTTTTTAACCGAGAATCAAGAGAGTAAAGGCCGAAGCACATACTTTTTTATAATGCATAACGCTTAGGCCTATTCTACAATACAGCCGTAAGTCGTAAGAAATTGACCAATCACAGACCAATTACAGAAGAATAATCGATTGTGATTGGTCAATTTCTTACGACTTACGGCTTACGACTGTATTGTAGAACAGGCCTTAGACATAAGAGAATCAACCAATCGTTGTCTGTGTTTCAAAATTCACTGCCAGCGCTAAAAATTTATAGTTTACGTCACATATATTATACAATTTTAGCACTGGGAGCGTGCTGGCAGCAATTCTGAAACACAGCTGTTATGTCATAGATATAGGCTGCGTTCCGTAATGTACTGCCAGTACTGTCAGTACTGTAAATAGCGTTCCGAAATAAGATGCAGCGCACTGCGACAGTACTGGTAGGAATCTATGACGTCACTGATTTTGACGTACTTCCTGTTGCGGCTACTGTGGCTAGCGAGGTAAAGCACTTGCAGTAATCAAGATGGCTGCTTCCATGATTGCCAGAGAATGAATTTTTAACCTTATCCTTATAGAAAGCTAAATATCATTTTAATGGCTGCCAAAAACATTGAAGTTTTAACATTAATTGATGGCGAAGAAAACAAATCTTATGTTCTTCAAGTTACTACAGAAGAAGCTGAAAGAGCTAGAAATGGTAA